GTGGCTGGCGCCTTAGCCGCTTGAGCCACAGGTGCTGAGCCAATAGTTACATCTTTTAAGTGCCAAGTACTTACATATATTAACTCATTAATTCTCCACAACATCATTATTATATAGGTTTTATTATATCCTCATTTTACAGATTAGGAAATTAAGGCAAAAAGAAGTTAATTAACTTGCTCAAGCCATGCAATCTCGTAAGAGGCAAAGCCAAGGTTGGAACCCGAAGGATCTGGTTCCAGAATCTCCACTCTCAATTTCCAAACTAAAATGCTAACTAAAGGATGAACAGACAAACTGGTAAACTGCTTCTGACAACCCACCGAGTGTCTGAAGATTGAGAATAAACCATAAAAAGACTTGTGGAAAGATTTACCAAAAAAAATTTTAAATGGGAAATGATATGCCTTTATCTTTTACAAATCTCTAGGTTTAAAAGGAGTCTTTTCCTCTTGCCTTATTCAGCTAGTATACCTAAGCAGAGTCTCTGAGATGAGCTTCCCCAGCTTTGATACCAGAGCACTGGCACGAGGTCACAATGCTCTGAAGAGCCGAGTAACAAATGCTCGTCACATGAACTATTGCTAACATTAAATTTTTTTACGAGTAAAAGCAAACAGTAGAAGCAGAGGCTTATGATTTCATGGCTGATCTTTTGTTCTTTGCCTCTCTGCTTGCCAAAATGTTCTAGAATCTTTCAAAATGTATGCATTTCCCTCTGATACTATTAGAGGACTGGTCCACTACATCATCTTCAGCATCTTACTTTGCCCCGCAAATCTAGTCCTATTTGGGGCATATATCTCTGGCAAGCTAATTTTAATGCTTTGTGTGAAGCTGAAAGTCAAACTGAGAGTAGATGAAAATGTAATTTTTTATTTCTCACATATCAGAATGAGCCCTTCTAATCTTGAGCTCTACCACACATAAATGATAAAAAATGTCTTTCTTCCTTTTCTTTTGTCTATATTACTGCCTCAAAGGGTCCCTAAGGTACATAAGAGACAAAAATACTTTCAATTTCCTCTTGTGTTTTTTTTTAATACAGGATTAGAAAAGTACATATTTGACCCTAAGAATGTAGCCACAACATAAATGAAAGGAACATAAAGAAGTCTCTGTAAATAAAACTTATTCTTTGCTAGTAATTGGAACCTTTTCTGAGTATAAATGGCCAAACTGGACTACCAACATCTTAGGGGAAAAAAAAAAAAACCTCTATGTTGGCAGCAATTTTTAAGAAATAACACAGTTCAAGTACAGATGAATGGCCAGAGATTGCCAGTGATAAGAGCTATAACCCAGAAATCCAGGAGCTCTTTACAATCTAATTTTGGTGTTATGACTGTTTTCTAAGGATTTACTGTATAAAATTAGCCTCAATTTTCTAATCTATTAAGTGTGGATTAAAATAACTGCTTATTTCAGCTATGAAAAATCATGACATTTTATTAGAAATAACTGCTTAGGTTGATTTATGAACATGCTATGTCTGGAAAAAAACATGTGAGTAACAAGTGATTAAAATTTCTTAATGTATGTTGGTAATTTTCAAATACAAAGAAATGATAGAGTAACCTCAAAGAAAGAGTAGAGGCCGAAGAGAAGGTTAGCTACAGATTATACTAAAAGGGTAGATCTGGCCCCTTAGTTCATGGTCTTTTCTTTTAATTTTTCACTCTTTTAATTTCTTACTCCCAGGCTTTAAAAGCCACTTACTTGCCATAGATGAAAACAGTGAACCTTAGATGGGCAGCTGGTCACTGTGGCACCTTCAAGAGCTTGGTTTTAGAAAATTGGGAGTGGCTCGGCGCCTATAGCCAAACCGGCTAAGGCGCCAGCCACGTACACCTAAGGTGGCGGGTTCGAATCCCCAGCCCGGACCCGCCAAACAACAATGATGGCTGCAACCAAAAAATAGCCAGGCGTTGTGGCGGGCGCCTGTGGTCCCAGCTACTTGGGAGGCGGAGGCAGGAGACTCGCTTGAGCCCAGGAGTTGGAGGATGCTGTGAGCTGTAATGCCACAGCACTCTACCCAGGGGGACAGCTTGAGGCTCTGTCTCAAAAAAAAAAAAAAAAAATTGGGAGTTAAGAAGTCCAATGGAAATCACAAACGGGCACGGTAAATATTTCTAGAGATGTGGAATAACAAAATAAAACTTGTACTTACAACTTGAGATTCACGAGCTTTAGGAAACATTTTGGCTACATTGAGACCATCGATGACAATATCAAAAGGAGGACAGGATTTTACAAACTTCTCAAATGTCCTAAGTTCCTAAAAAAAAAGTCAGATAAAACATTAATAAGAACTTAGTAAGGACTTTTATTTTAAATACACTACAACAACTTTATTATTGCTTTGATAATTCTATCTATTCATTCTTTAAAAATACACACAAGCACACATGCAACACACAAAGATACCCTCAAAATGAAATCTGAAAACACCACCATAATGGATATAACTGCATATAGCTAATACATTTTATAATCTCACAGTGCTTTACACTTCACAAAGTACTTTCACTTATGAGTTCATTTAATCTACAGCCAGCCTATCTAAACTGTTAAATTAACCCATATGATAGTCATGAAGAGAATGAAAAGTCAAAATCTCTAAGTCCTATCCTGTAAGCCAAGGAGAAGTAAGCCTCAGATAGATCAGTCCACCAGCCTGGTTCTCAGTTTCAGGAGGCTTGCTCTTGCAACCTAGCCATCCTGAAAAAGCCCAAGAAGGGGTCACATACGTATTCCACTTGACAGTCTAATAAGTCCCAGCCAACAGCCAGAGTCAACTACCAGACTGACGAGGTGAGGGAGATTTTAAGATGATCCTAGCCCCCAACTGGAATATAATAGGAGACATAAGCAAGAACCAGCCAACTCAATCTAGTTAACTCCTAGAAACATGAGAAATTACAACAATAATAGTAACATATGGTTATTTTTGTTTCATAGCACTACATTTGAGAAAATAAGGGAAAGAAAAGAAGGGAACTGTACCAGGTAAAATGTGCCTATATGTTCCTTTTAGTCAGAGGGTATTCAGTCAAAATGGAGAGGGAATCCTAGAAATAAAATACCACAGAATTTGCAATATAAATAAGCCCAAATCCTTGGCTAACACCTGATCTGCACATCCATGGAGGAGACTCTAAAGAGCCAGCAAAGGCTAGGTGTGGTGGCTCACAACTGTTAATCCTAGCACCCTGGGAGGCTGAGATAGGTGGATTGCCTGAGCTCATGCGTTTGAGACCAGTCTGAGCAAGAGTGAGACCCCATCTCTACTAAAAATTAAAAAAAAAAAAAAAAATCAAACAAAAAAAACTAGCCAGGTATGGTGGTAGCTACTCAGGAGACTAAGGGAAGAGGATCTCTTAAGCCCAAGAGTTGGATGTTGCTGTGAGCTATGATGATACCACCACACTCTACCCAGAAAACAGAGATTCTGCCTAAAAAAAAGACAAAGAAAAAGAGAACCAAGCACAAAAGCAACAATCAAAAGACTTGACCAACCTAAGCAGAGATTTCAGCTGCTACCCACTCCAAGGGAGACCGCAGAGTATGGAGTTTAAGCCTAACCATGTTTAATAGCCTGTTAAAGCAAAAACTCAATGACCTCCAGAAGAAGGAAACAGAATCCAGAGCCTCTGTAATGTACCATTCACAATGTTTAAAATACAATTAAAAAATAATGGGGGGCAGCACCTGTGGCTCAGAGGAGTAGGGCATTGGCCCCATATGCTGGAGGTGGCAGGTTCAAACCCAGCCCTGCCCCCCGCCCCAAAAAATAGCCAGGCATCATGGTGGGTGCCTGTATTCCCAGCTACTTGGGAGGCTGAAGTAAGAGAATCGCTTAAGCCCAAGAGTTTGAGGTTGCTGTGAGCTGTGACGCCATAGCACTCTACCGAGGGCAATATAGTGACATTTTGTCTCAAAAAAAAAAAAAAGAGTGAAATTTCTAATCCACTTTCCCAAGGATGAGACTACTTTTCTCTCTCCAGACTTTAATCAAAAACAAAACAAAACAAATGAAACAAAAATAATGGAGCAGCACCTGTGGCTCAGTGAGTAGGGCCCCATATACTGAGGGTTACAGGTTTGAATCCAGCCCCAGCCAAATTGCAACAAAAAATAATAAACATGAGAAGAAAGAGAAAAATGTGACCCACAATCAAGAAAAAAGGAATCAACAGAAACCAATCCAAAGACTGAAACCAACCTGTATTAAAATAACATAAGGCTACAGGGTAAGAACTATGGTAGAAGTCTGATTTCTAAAGAAGTACAGACATAGCTAAAAAGTTAACCAGCTACTGTTTCCTTACTTCCCTTCCTGTAACCACTTACTACTGTTACTGCTCCCTACAGGAGTATCCAACCTATTTTTAAAAATCTGCCACACATTGGAAGAAAGAGATGTCTTGCCTCATGCCTGTAATCCTAGCACTCTGGGAGGCCAACACAGGTGGATAGCTTGAGCTCAAGAGTTTGGGACCAGCTTGCCCAGAAGCTAGACCCTATCTCTACTAAAAATAGAAAAAATTAGCCAGGCCTTGTGGTGGGTGTCTATAGTTTCAGCTACTTGGGGGGTTGAGGCAAGAGGATTGCCTGAGCCCAAGTGACTGAGGTTGCTGTGAGCTATGATACTAGGGCACGCTACCCAGGGCGACAGAGTGAGACTCTGTCTCAACAAAAAAAAAAAAAAAAAAAAAAAAGAGAGAGAGACGTCTTGGGCCACATAGTAAATACACAAACAATAACAAAAGCTGATTAGCAAAAAAAAAGGTCTATGTATGCTTTTTGTGATATCTGACACCACAGATAAGCAAAAAAGTACTCACAAAATCATCATGCAGCCCATTGGACACCCCTGGCTTACTGCTTAAGTGTCATGTATCCATAACAAGTGCAAGATTTGTGAGTTTCCCAATCACTTCTATACATAATTTCACTATTAAAACCTAAGACTGATCCTTGGAATATCTTTCAGACTCTGCATTTAGGTGGACCAACTGGTATCAACCAGACTAGCGGCCATGCATGGCAACTGACACGACAGGTTCTGTGACCTTTTACGGTGACCCTATGATTTCATCCCCAGGTAATCAACAGACCCAATTCTATAGCCTACTGTTTGCCGAACTACCTTTAAAAACCCTGGCCCTGAAACTCTCAGGGACATGGATTTGAGAAATTTCTTTCATCTCCTCTTTGGCATCTTGTGATATTAAACTCTTGCTCTGCTGTAACTCCTGCTGTCTCAGCATATTAGCCTCCTCCTGGGTGGCAGGTAAGGGACTTGGTTGGGCAGTAACACATTCAGATCCTGGAGTTAGCAGACAAGAACTTCAAAGTAACTATTATAAATATTATCAAAAATTCAAAGGAAATGGTCATAATGAATGAAAAGAAGAGAAATCTCCCTGGAGAATGTAAACTAGAAAAATGAACAAAATAAACATTCTAAAACCAAAAAGCACAAACGTAACATAAAATATTCACAGGAGATAACTCAGTGCCTGTGGCTCAAGTGGCCAAGGCGCCAGCTACATACACCTAAGGTGGTGGGTTCGAATCCAGCCTGGGCCCGCCAAACAACAATGACGGCTGCAACTAAAAAACAGCCAGGCATTGTGGCAGGCGCGTGTAGTCCCAGCTACTTGGGAGGCTGAGGCAGAAGACTCGCTTGAGCTCAGGAGTTGGAGGTTGCTGTGAGCTGTGATGCCACTACACTCTACCCACGGGGACAGCTTGAGGCTCTGTCTCAAAAAAAAAAAAAAAAAATTCACAGGAGGGATTTAACAGCACATTGGAGATGGCAGAAGAAAAATTCTGGGAACACCAAAAGGCAACAGAAATTATCCAATCTGATGGGGGAAAAAAGATAAATCGAGCCTCAGTAAACCATGGGACAATATTAAATAGACAAACATATGTGTAATTAGAGTCTCAAAAGAAAGAACAGAAAGAATGAGGTAGAAAAAGAATTTAAATAATGGCCCAAATGCTCTCAAATTTGGTGAAAATATAACCTATTCAAGAAGCACAACAAATTCAAAGCAGAATGAACACCAAGAAAACCGTAACTAGGCACATCACAGTAAAGTTGATGAAAATCAAAGACAAAGAGAAAAATCATAAAAGCAGTTTGCAAAAGAATATATTTAGGAGAATAATAATACAAATGACAGTTTAGTTCTCATCATACACAATGGGGGCCAGAAGACAATGATAGGACATTGTTGAAAGAATAACAGACAACAAACAAACCAAAATTCACCCTTACAATCCAGAATTCTCTATCTAGTAAAAAATATCCTTCATAAAACGAAGGTAAAAAAATTAAGGTGAAATAAACACAATTTGGGGTAAATGTCCAGTAAGCCTGTAACAACAAAAAAAAGTTAAGACAATTTCTCAGGCTGAAGGGAAATGGAATCCTAGATTTAGAAGAAATAGAAAAAATACCAGAAAAGGTAAAGATGTGAGTATTTACAAAAAGAGACTGTACTTTTTCTTTTAACATCTTTAAAAGACATGGGACTAGGATTATATTTTGAAAGATTTGGTAACCATGAAGTGTACTCTGCCCTCATCACTGAGCCCTGAGTGTCACAACTCCTGGGGTCAGGATTCCAGTCAAGTCGATCTCTTGGGTTGCTGGCCCAGGCAGGTCTGCCAATCCACTGGAATGTGAGGCCTGGAAGATACCTCAAAAACTACCACCAGGTTCAGAACACATGATGCTATCTATGGAGAAAAGCTCCAGAACACACATATTCTCCACACGACAGCCTTATGAGGACATTGGTGACAAGTCACTGACTTCGGGATACACCATGGGGCACAATCACCAAGGCAACCCTGTTCAAAGAGCAAGATGCTGGGGTCATGGCTTGGCGCCTGTGGCTCAAGTGGCTAAGGCGCCAGCCACATACAGCCAAGGTGGCAGGTTCAAATCCAGCCTGGGCCGCCAAACAACCATGAGGGCTGCAACCAAAAAATAGACAGGCATTGTGGCAGGCGCCTGTGGTCCTAGCTACTTGGGAGGCTAAGGCAGGAGACTCGCTTGAGCCCCGGAGTTGGAGGTTGCTGTGAGCTGTGATGCCACAGCACTCTACCCAGGGGGTCAGCTTGAAGTTCTGTCTCAAAAAAAAAAAAAAAAAAGATACTGGGGTCTTCACTGAAGGAGATTTACCAATTGGTCTGAGCCAGTCACATTTGGCATGAATCCTTCATTCTGTCAGCAACAAGAAGGAAATGCAGCAATGA